AAGTCCCATTTCATGCAATTTCCAAAACATTCCTTGAGCTTCCTCAACGTGTCAGGATGGTTCAGTGAGAGAGGTGCAAAGACTAAGCGTGCTCACCTGCTTGGCGTATTCTTGTTTGTTGTGTGAAGCCGCTTCTGTGTTCTTGACTTGCTGAACATTAAACAGGTATATGAATTTGACACGCGCCAATTCAAAGATGATGTGGTAGATTATTTGTCAGCGCCAAACCCTGAGTATCTATGAATCAAGCTTATTCAGATCGGGACTCAAGCAATGTGAAGCGTTTGTCATCGCTTTTGAGGCTTGCCCAAGCTGTTGCCAAACGAGCACGCATCTCTCAAGGCTGACTGTTGCTGACAGTATGGAGAGTCGGATTTGTTGCGATCTCACCATATATATATATATACACTCGTATCATCATCTCCTCATCCTCATCCTCATCCTCATCCTCATCATGGTTTATCATTCACCTAGTTGCAATCATGTACAGTATCCTCCTGCTGTTTGCGTGCTGCTTTTGTTCCACATTGTAAGTAGAATTAACTATTTGATACATACCCAAACTATCCCAAACTTTTTTTTCAATCGGTAGACAATCTGTAAACGCCTTGTAAACAGGAACCTGATGTAACCCGGTCGCATCGGGCCACTCGTTGGGAATTTCTACAGCGTTCTATTGGGACTGACGTGGAGCAAGCGGATGTGAATCAATCAAGCCCACACTATTTTAGAACCAGCGCTCCATTGGCTTTCGCACTCTTTGGTCTACTTTTTGGTGGAAATCTTGTTTGGGTATCAGCGTTCCATTGGGATTAGCTCCCGAGGGTGACTGGGCGATGACTTCTTGGGAGCAGCGTTGCCATGGTGATTTGGCATTGAAACAGTGGCAAGGGATGACTAAGGGATGACTTGGTCAGGTTCCTGTAGTTTACACATGCAAAAGCTCTATTTATATATATATATCAGTATAATACAGTATATATCATAACATAGTACAATACATAGCATAGAGGGAATATAGCACATCATAAATATATGCACTTCTCACACCGCGCCCATGGGATACATTTTTCCCAAATCGAAACAGGGTCCAAGTGTTCAAATGTACTGCAACAGTACTGTAACTGGCACAATAACGGACAACCAAAATAGCATATCTGGGAACATCTCATATCTAGGAAGGGCATTGCAAAAACAATGAGATCACGACCTACTTGCATGTGCAAACGAGGATCGCAAACGGAAGAGACAAAACTTACGTGCATGGGGGTCACGGAGCACATCGCGTCTCTTGACAGAACCCAACAATTGCGGCAGACCGAAGAAATGAAGAAGTTATTGTTCACGCTTCATCAACATCAACATGGTTTCCTTGTCACGTGTCTGCTCAATCACGATTCGAACGTCAACAAATATTCATGCAACGCAGAAAATTTTGTCCAATGCTCGCAGTTACAGCAGTGTAAGAAGATGCAACAAGTGTAAAACATGCCTGTGCGTCGTCGTGAAGCAGTGTCTAAAATGCTGGCACCATGCGAATCAGTGTGTCCAATGCTTGGGCAACGGGACACCGTCTCTGTGTTGATTACTTGTCACAAAGCAAGCCATTATCTCCCCACCCCACCCCACCCACCCAACCCCCACTCCCGCCAGCAAAGCCCCAAAACACAGTTATACTTCCAAGGGGCGTGGTGTACGAAACCCTATGAATTCATATTGTTACAAATGAGACATGAATGCGGCCTTACACCCTGGAGAGCCTGTGCTCGCACGCGCTTTTCCTAGTAACGGAGCCCCTCACAAAGAATGCAGCACGTCCGAGTCTTCATGAGTAATATGTTTTTTGCTCTTGTTTTGTTTTTTCGCCAGTGGCCTGCGCCCCTACTACTTAATTAGGTGGATACTACCTACTTGATTAAGTAAGGAGGTAAGTTATAAACTTTTAGTAATAGGAAGCAGGATAGCTCGCGGTTCTTCAAGGAAGCTCCTCTGCCTGAGGGCGGGGGGAGCTTCCTTTTGCTCTCCTGCCGCGTCAAAGTGCGTTCGGCGACCCCCGAGCGTTCCGCGTCGGGGGTCAGGGTCACCATACAAGAACGTACTGACTCACAACAAGGAGTCAAAGGGGATAGTCCAGGAGGCTGGCGTCGACATGGCGCCTTTCTCGAAGGCACGACAAAGCATTTCCAAAGGGACATTGCCTAAGAAGGCTTCAGCTCCTACGAACGCCCCCTTGGGGTAGGTTTTGCCATTGCATTTGTTTCCCTTCTGGAGTAAAAGAGGTGCAACCACAATGTGTTTGGCCTTGCAATACGAAATGGCTGCTCTGATGGTAGCAGCATATGCCTGCACTGTGCATATGATCCCAGCTGGCAGCTCAAATCTCCAGCCATGATGAAAGGCGAGAACAGCTAGCTCAAAAACAGAGCAGGCAAAGCCATCACCAATCCGCCATCGTAACGTGTTGCTGAACCGAAGGAAAGTCCGGAAGTTGGTCTCCGTGATGACTTTAGTTGTGGAGTAGGCAGTCTGATCATCGTTCTGGAACTGCCAAGTGTATTGATCAACAGAAACATCCCATGGCCAGCGAGGGCATTGCTGACGAGGAGGAATGCGGGTGGTAACTACTGGCACCTGGTCAGGTACAGGTGTCACCTGACCTTCTGGTCGTCGGCAAGCACGGTTGATCTTAGCAAGCCACAATTGGCGTGCAAACACATTTGTTTCCCTGACACGGATCTCTGCTTTAGCATTGGTGGCCAGTGTGAGGATCTGCTGCTTAGCGAAGTCATCAGCAAGTCTATTGAGTATGATATCACGCTTGCTAGAACCTGCAGCAACGGCATCGGCTTCAGTCAAGCATTCAGCAGGGATGTGTTCCAGTAGGTGGGAAGGACACCATACCAGCTGCAGCGGGCAGTCACTGAAACCACCTCGTTGATGAATGAGTGCATGCAGGAATCCCCACCAGTTCGCGTGGGTCCACTCCAGTTGGACAGTCCCCTGATGGAGGAGGTCATTGAACTGGTTGACAACTCATCATTTTGGTCCTAGATTTTTAGGGAAACTTAACCAGTAAATACCAGTAACAAGAAGCTTCTAGGGGCTCCTGGCATCGCTACTAGGAGCAAGGATGCTACTAGGGGCTCCCGGCCTTACTACTAGGAGCAAGAGACTGAAAAGCTTTCGAACTTTCCAATCAGCTTGGCTCTGCATTGGGGTCTGAGCATTCCACTCTTAGCATTGACGCCACTACCTGAAAGCGATCCATCCATCCATTCCGAAGGCTGTTGCAGTTGACATCGCTTCGAGGTGATTATGGGCACATCAAGCTTTCTTCACCCTTTGTCCCCCCGGACTTTAGATGTCCTGCTCAATTCAACCTTTCTCCAAACGCATGGGCTCCACTTCCACCCTACAATCGAGACCTTGTATATAAAGAGCCTATCATATCAACCCTCAATGCGAGACTTTGCGCCTCTTTGCCTTCTATTTCCCCATGCCTGACACTTCACCCCATAACCACATTGATGTCTTCTTACGGAGGCTGGCTTTCGCCCCCCTCCTTTCTCAGGTATAGTATATATATATACGTAAATTAAAATCAATTGTTGATGTCAAGCCCGTATTTGGTTTTGGTTTGGCGAGCTCGGCTTTTGTTTGTTAAGGGCGCTGTTGGCTTCGTCAACTTGGCTTCGGCTTGTTTAGGACTTGGTTTGGCTTGGTTTCTACATTGGGTGTCCCCACATCCACCTTTGTCACCCTTTACCGTGGTTCGGCTTGTGTGCTTCGGTGTTTGGGATGTCGACCTGACCTTTGTTTTGGCACTTGACACGTTCGAGAAAGTTGAGGTGTGAGCCAAAGCTTTTGGGTGCAGGATTTGGTGTTCGGTGTTCACGGCTTAGTCCGAACCTTGCTTTTCTCTCTGGGATTTTGAGAGACCGGTTTTCAGCTTTCAGGATTGCTCTCTTGCACCTGAACCTTTCTTTGCTTTGGAGATTCGGCTTTTGGGATTCACCTTGTGTCCGGGCTGATCTCCGAATCGCCTGTCCATTTTGCGTGTGCTTTGGAATTGAGCTATGGCATTGTTTGGCATCTCACATCATTTTTTCAGCCATGGCAGCTCCAAAAGCCTTAACTGTGGTCGATGCATTTTGGATCGCTTTGCTTTGCTGGGTAGACAAACACATCAATGTTTCAAAAATGGAATATATATATATACGCAGTATATATACAATATTTTCATTAGTATCGATCCCGGTTCATGACTTTTGGATTTTGATGAAAGGGCCAACCCCGATGTTGCAATGAGATGGTGAAACATGACACTTCTACTGGAACTTTGAGGCTAAGCACCAAGCGGTCTTTGTTTCTTATTCTTTTCTTATAACTTATAACCATCCAATCTTGGAATTGCCTGTGACTTGCTGCCAAAAAGGGGGGTGCGACCCTGAGCATCTGTTGTGGCCATGATCTTTTTCAGGCACCAGGCAGCAGCCTTTCATCGGCTTGTCACCAGGGTATGACAGCGGAGCGCTGCAGGCTGGAAGTGCAGGACTATGTTTCCTCAGTGAATGTTGGAGACAGATAATGTACAGGCTCTGTTGACCCTGAGTAAAACGCGTAGCGCTGAGGTTGTGGCACTCTATTTAAACAGTATCAACACAATTTTTTGAGCATCACGTTCAAGCCCAGTTACACCTAAGGCCACATGTAGCTTATCACATTGTTTGCACAGAAGATGTCACGGAAATTGAAGACCGCTTTGCCTGGAGTGGCCGCGATCTGATTTGCAAAGCACCGAGACTTCCATTTTGCTGGAGCATTGCCAGAGACGCTGACACTGAATCTTGTGGGATCTTGTGGGTATGTTTACACTTGGTATGGTACGGTATGGTGCTGTAAACCGTGCTGACCTGCAGTCTATTTGGTCTAAGTCTATGCATCATGTGAGTTGCAACCGCATGTGATCTACTACATAGACGAGACCGTGAGCATCCCGATTTCAACGACATCCCGCATCCAGAACTATCAAACAAATCGTTTCTCCAAGAACAAGAGGCTTGCGACTTAATCAGGACACCCAGTGGAACAGTCATTGAAATCAAATCCACACAGCAACAGTTGAACAAGCATCGGCATACATCGGCATTATCCGCGCACAGACACGAATGATATGGTCCCGGAAGTAAGGATGCAGAGGAAATGCAATGGCTGTTTGATCCTGTGTTTGTACTGTATTCAACTCGACGCTCTTTGTTCTGAATTGTGGTGCATGGACATGCCGAAAGAGTATCTATATAAAGGCTTTGCAGTATTTAGACTGTAGTGGGATATGAGTGGAATATTTGGCTTTTTGGTTTTAGGACGTGTCTGCATAGGTCACAAAACCAAGACATTGCCACTGCGCTGGTGTTCACAGCAGCACATCACATGAGTGTCTAAATCAGCGGCACCAGTAGCAATTCTCATTGCTACACTACTAAATGAAATGTGAAGTGCCTCAAATGACTGAACCATGTCACAGCTCTGCGACATTCCACAGCGCAGCACTGCAAATCACCATGCATCAAGTCATGCCATTTCACATATATAGTTGAGATGGGTGATGACAGTCGAGCAGTGAGACAATGATGCTAATGTTGCCGGTGTACATTGACTGGTTCTTGTTTGACAGGTCTGCAACAAGAACCTAGCAGCTGGAGATGCCACTCTCACCATGTACACTTAAATGTTGAAGTCGTAGCGATTTTCTATTTTCGAAGCGTTTCCATGAGGGTCGCGTTTGGTTGGAGAGAAGCCTTTCATTTGTGATTTGAAAGGGTGTTTGTCTGCAGTGTGCAGCTGTGGTGGTGGAAGGGGATGTGCCAGCAGTAAATTAAAAAGAACATTAGCCCTGCATAGACACCAGATAGCAACTTACTCTAAATCACTGCTAAATTATTGCGTTTCCATGCAAGACGCTTGTTTTACACATGGAGTTTGTGTTAGGGATTTCAGAAAACATCAAACACCTTGCCAAATCATTGCGTTTCCATGCGGGAAGCTTGTTTTGGCAAGGACTATGCCGGGACCCCCTCCTGGCATCACGTTTCCATTGGGGGAACACACTCCTAGTATGCCGTGACTTCCGCAGCTGAGTGTACGCAGGAAGACCTGTTGTCAGTGGTAACTTGTTATAACATAGTTATATAACTCACTTCCACGGGCACAGAAAGAGTACATTACAGCATTGCTATAAAACGTGCGTTGCGTTTGTGTTGAACCAGAAGGGAATGCATACTCCTGCACTTAACGAACTCTTGTACCCTCTGATTTATATACACAAGGATTCTTGAGGCGGTTGAGAACATGATAGTTCAGGGGCATGTGGAGAGACAGACAGAGAGAGGGAGAGAGAGAGAGAGAGAGCGAGAGGGAGAGAGAGAGAGAGAGCGAGAGCGAGAGGGAGACGGAGAGGGAGAGGGAGAGAAAGAGAAGGAGAAAGAGAAAGAGGGAGAGAGAGAGGGAGAAAGAGAGAACGGAATGCAAGGAAAGACAAAAGAAATGACAGAAAAAATCACAGGACAACAATATACCCTCTCGCAGGATGCACAGTTGCATGCTAGTGCCTGGCTAGAGCAAGGCGACATGGTCGAGGGCAACATCATTTTACTCAGTCAGGAAGATCTTCTTCAACAAATGAGGTTCAGGGACGATTGATGAGAGGTATTTGTGCAGATTTGTTCATACCACGTGCTTGTTTCGACTACCTGCAAAGTGGCCAGGTTTCTTCGGGATGGATCGGAAAGCCGCGAGGCATTTTTTCGTGGTTCCACAATGTCATGCGGTGCAGTCAAGCTGTCGGCTGAGTACCTGCAACTCTCTTCATCCGCTGCCGATGCAAACAATGGAAAACATCCAAGACTTGATTGGGCAGGGCAGCTTAGGCTGCTTCTCATTTCAGGCTGACGATGCTGCATCCACTGGACTTTCACAGGTTTTTAAGGAGGCCACCCTGAGTTGCAGAAGCGATCAGAAATGAACATATGAGAAAAAAGAGAAAAGAAAGGAGGTGCCTTACCTTACCTTATACTGTACTCCTTTTGCATCTCCTTATTCCTTGAGTAACTGCTCATGCATCTACTTCCACAGCTCTCCAGGCTCGTGAGCGAGGCCTATTGGCTGCTTGCCCGAAATGGACCTGTCACCAACACACTGTGTTGGTCCTGTCGGACAAGTTTGTTCCCATTCATTACTAGTAGCTTCTAGCTACTACGGTTACGCCATTAAAATATGTGGAGGGCGGCCCAGGGCTCATCCTCCCGGAGGTAGTGTATAATTCCTATATTGTCCGTATGTTTGAGGGCGGCGGGCGGCTCCGCATTTTTAAATGTGCAGTTCCTTCATCATTCTATACATAGGTGGGGGTCTTGGCTGGCCTCACGTCATGGGGTAAGGCCTCCACGTAGGACCGGCTAAGGCCTCCACGTAGGACCGGCTAAGGCCTCCACGTAGGACCGGTGAAGGCCTCCACGTGGGACGTGGGACCGGCCAGGCCTCCACGTAGGACC